AGAGAGAGAGAGAGAGAGAGAGAGAGAGAGAGAGAGAGAGAGAGAGAGAGAGAGAGAGAGAGAGAGAGAGAAGAGAGAGAGAAGAGAGAGAGAGAGAGAGTTCCAGCTGGTACGTATCGGGTGTGGGTTATGAGTTAATTCCCTGATGAGCCGTATTCCTTCTCTGGTTGGCCAGTGGTTGATCGGTACAGTAACCTTCGTGCCCAGCACATGGGAGAGAAGGCGAAGAGGAGGAACGAAAAGAAGATACACAGGCAAACAGACACGTAGGCATGCAGACCTACGTGCACACACACATGCACACGCCCGAGGAGGGGTGGAGGTCGTTGGTCAGGACGGATAAAACACACCTTTCTTTGCGACGTCAATCTGCACGCTAATAATCCTTAGCCGTCGCGGTGGTTGCTCTGGTCTCTGGGTTCTGGGCTCTGGGCTTTGGTCTTGATCACTGCATGAATGGCGGCTTGGGTGTCGGCCAGCAGCTGCAACGCCGCTCGTCTGTGGAGCTGTGGAGCTGTGGAGCCCCACGAATGAATGCAGCGGACAGCTACCGGACAGGTACCGTACAGGGAGAAGTCCGGTGTATTTGACCAACAACAAAAAAAAGGGGTTAAATTTTTGAGATGCCCCCCCGACTTCCATATATTTTGCGGTATGCCCCTCCGAAAGCTAATTGACCCTGTCGTGCCCATGGGGCCTCTGAAGTCTCCTGCAGGCCCCTGTCAGAAAGGGGTACAACTTTCCAGCATGCCCCTGTGGCCGTTGGTGGCACTCGCGGCGGCCGTTTCCCTGGCCCTGGGAAGGAAGCTACCGGGGCATACTGGAAATGAGGGAAGCTACCGGGGCATACTGGAAATTTGGAAGCGATACTGGTAGGGGCATATTGAACATATTTCAGGCCCAAATGACGCCAGGGTTTGGGCCTCGCTGCACCACTCTCGACATGCACAAAAGACAAAAATCATGGCCGTGTATCTTTCCATATTCTAGCGGACGATTCACTCTCGTTTTGCACATTTCCAGAGTAGTGCAGCGAGGCCCTTTTTTTCGGAAACTTCAATCATTGTCGGAGGGTCGCGACAAGGTAAGTCGGATGTCAGAGAGGCATACCGCAGGTGAATGGAAGTCGGAGGGGCATTTCTAAAGTTTTCCAGAAACAAAAACGTACAGGGACAAAAGGGACATTTCACCAAAAAAAATACAGAAAATATTTGTCATGTCACTCAAAGATCCGTTTGTTCGCTGCCCGTCAAACAGCCAGTTTACACTGGCATCGCCCTCCCGGCGGTTCAGGTTTGCGAAATATCCCTGACGGCCGGAGATCTTTTCAGTTGCCCCTACAGTCCCTGTTCAACTTTTTCTGGATGTCCCCCCATACGTACGGCCAATGTGCCCTGCAGCTACCACCAGGTCCACCATGCAACAATGCGTGTCATCCTTACTTGCACAGGAGGGGCCATGCTAATCTTCTTTCTCTGTATCGTTCCAACTTTAACGGACGTCCCGAAGGACCCAGCATCAACAATGTGGTCCCACTATGTTAGAAAAAATGGAAACTGCTCGAAATGCCCCTCCGACTTCCATTTATTTGTCGTGCGCCCCTCTGATTGCTGACTTACCCTGCCGCGCCCCCTTGACAACGATTGAAGTTTCTGAAAAACCCCTGGCATCGTTTGGGCCTGAGATATGTTCAATATGCCCCTACCAGTACTGGTTCCAAATTTCCAGTATGCCTCGGTAGCTCCCCTCCCAGGCCCAGGGGAACGGCCGCAAGTGAAAACCAACAGCCCCAGGGGCATGATGGAAAGTTGCATCACTCACTGACAGGGGCCTGCACGGAACTTGAGAGGCCCCAGGGGCGCGACAGGGCAAGTCAGCCGTCAAAGGGGCATATGGAAAATAAATGAAAGTCGGAGGGGCATTTCAAACATTTTCCCAAAAAAAAGAAAAAAAACGACTCTTCAACAGGGGACTGTCACACAGATTTCAGGTGATAAGGGCATGCCAGTCCATGCTGGCTCTTCGAAGGGCAGAATGCAAAGAATGCATCTTTAAGGGGCAAAACAAAACTCGTCCCTTTGAAGAAAGTGCAAATTCATAACAAGACAAAAGGAAGGAGACTGTATCCAGCTCCCAGCTCCACCCCTTCACACGGTGGTTGGGTGACACAGTCTCAACACTCTTTTCCTTCTTCGGAGTGAATAAAACAAGTGCACCATAGCAAGATGAACTTGGCTTAATCCACCCTTTGACTACCAGCTCCTGGATCTGTTTCCTTAAACCACCAGTACTTGGCCCAGCTATCGATGCCGAGCCTGGAATGCCCCTGCGCGCTGATTTTCGCCGAAGCGCCGGTGTAATTGTTTTGGCTGGCGCTTCCAACCATTGAGGTCCGGTACCCCGAAGCCCTAAAGGCACGGCGCGTTAACGGGAAAGCGCCGCGGCCGATAGCTGGGCCAAGTACTGGTGGTTTAAGGACACAGATCTTCTAACTCCTGTGGGCCCCCCTTATGTAAATGGGGCCTTGGGAATCTTACCACCTGGCTCTATGATCACAACAATTTGGTGGTGCTTAATTGGCCTCCGAGTCTCAACTATTTCCCCGAGCTCCTCTTGCACATCAGCACTCTTCTAGCGACTTTTGAAAAAATCTTCAGGTGGACTCTCCCTCTCCCTCTCCCTCTCCTTTAGTAGGCACTCCTTCCTTTGCCTTATCCCTCTTCTCAGGTGTCCCATATACCCAGTGGAGAAGGAGAGGGAGAGGGAGAGGGAGAGGGAGAGTCCACCCGAAGACCAAAAATCCAATCCATCAGCTTGTTCCTTACCACCTGCCAACTGCCACTCGTGTCTGTTTCCGCCCCCATTCCTCAATCCATGCCTACTGCGACTAAAGGGTTTAGGGTTTTCTTCCACTGGGAGAAGCATGCCGCCTTCGCCCCTTGAAGGTACGCTCCCGTGCTCACTGGCATCAAAATGTTGTTGGCCATTCTTACAACTACTAAGCCTCTAGCACTGCAGGGGGTGTTCAAAAAAAAAAAAAAAAAACGACTACGAACTCGTTGAAATTATGAACTTTCATCGCTGCTGCATGATACATGGCATATCGAAAAAGTCGTTTCTGCGTTCAATGGCGTGTGGCGTAAACAAATGTCATGATCGTGCCATGCAACATGCCGATCACATACTAGGAACACAGAGGCATGCAGATTGCAATTGTTTAAGCAAGCTTTGCCTTGCCCGCCCCTGTCCACAAAAAATAGGACATACCATGTCAGGCAGGTTGTTCTACATGAGTTCAGGAGGGCCACCATAAATAATGGCCCCCTCATGCATATCCAATTGTTTAAGCAAGCTTTGCATATCATTGCCTTGCCGGCAACGCAACGTTGACTGTCATATCATTGCCGGCAAAGCTTGCTTAAACAATTGAGTGTCAAAGAAATACTTGCACAGGCCACACCAGCATAATCCTCATGACACAAAGCATGCAATCACATGCTAGACGGAGTTCAGGAGGGCGACCATAAGGGCAAGGGCGGCATTGAGCAAGTTTCTCGGGGGGCGGTCCGCAGCGGAAGTACCCATTCTAGGGGGGGGTAGGTGATCGGAGGGGGTGCAGATGAATAGAGTCAGGGTATAGAGTTGATGCGAGATCGTGGTGTGCAACTGCTTGCTCTCACAGTGGTAGTATTTCAATACAATGCATTCAAGTTGTAGGTGGCTGTATTCACAGTGGGTCTATTCTCCACCTCACGCTGCAACGGACGTTTCTAATCGGGAATGAGTCTATTCTCCACCTCTCGCAGTGGTTCTATTCGCAGCGAGTCTATTCTCTGGCCTCTGGCAGTGGTTCTATTCACAGTGAGTCTATTCCTCCACCTCAGGGTATTGAGCTGTTGCAAGATCGGGCCAGCAACTGCTTGCTTTCGCAGTGGTACTATTTCAATAGTGCCAGTGAGTCTATTCTCCGCCGCATTGGTACTATTTCAATAGCAAGTCTATTTTCGTCCATGGCCATTTCAACAGTGTCTATTTTCGGCCATGGCTATTTTCTCCGCAGCAATAGTACCACAGTGGTACTATTTCAATAGCGAGTCTATATTCTCCGCCGCGGTGGTAATATTTCAATAGTGAGTCTGACCTCTATCGTAGATCTGCTCCTCATTTGTCAAGGATTGAGGGGAATAGACTCACTGTGAGCCCGTTTACACGTGCAGGCGGGATGATATGATGCCCAACATTCAAGTTACATGTACAGCAGGAGCTACAGCCTGCAGGTGGTGGCATCGGGAAGAGTCCACACGGCACAGACATATACTCTCTATTGCTGACATGCTCGACCTGTGCTGACCTGCCAATGTGCAAGCCTACCTTGCAATCGCCCTTCAGCTTGATACTGACCTGCCCAGCCTACAGCCAGAGGATTGTAATCATACCAGGGAACTAGACGACCTGTTGCTGCTTCGCTCGCAAAGCATTAATGGTGGAGGCAACCGAACAATGCAAACTCTCTCTCTCTCTCTCTCTCTCTCTCTCTCTCTCTCTCTCTCAGGAGGTTGTTTTCGGGGAGCTCCTGAAAACATTTACGATACATGGCATGTTGCTGACATGCTAGCAGGACAACTGGCTCACATTCACAGTTATTCGAGCATGGCATATGAAGGACACAACGACATTATATTGGGCAAAGTGATACCTGGGCAAAAAGAGAGGGGAGGGGGGGGGGGGGGGGGGGGGGGGGGGGGGGGCTACAGTTTTCACTAGAGAGGCCGGCAATCACCATCCCTTCAGTGTTCTCGGCACAGAGAGTATTCCATGCACATCCTAACTGGACTGTGCCTGTATGACAACACTATGGCATGGTGCAAAGATCGCCGTTCAAAGAGGCCCCCTCGCTATCCGCGGCGGAATTCCTTTGATCTGCTCACGCAAGAGACGCTGCCTGGCCTGTTTCCAGGGAGGGGGGAAGAATCGGCCCGATTGTTCACCGGAATGTTACTGATTGCACGCTGGAGGCTGGCAATGACAATCCCTTCATAGTGTACCAAGCAGAGAGTACATCATGCACATCCTAATTGGACTATGCCTGTATGGACATGGTGCTGAGATCGCCATTTAAAG